TAGTCGTCTCTGGCCTCCCTGGCCCGTCCATGCTTGTGTTCACAGTGTGTGCTGATAGCATGGTTGGACGGCCCTCTGGCATTATCTTGGGCAGCTATTGTATTTTTATAGAGCTGTGGCTTATCTCCTTGGTAAGATGATCAACTCCGTGGGGCAGGAACTGGGCTATGTGCCCAGGAACGCTCCACGAGTTGTGTTTGCTGGTCACTGGGAAAGGCCCAGCAATGCTGTCCCTGCAGACAACGTTCCTGCAGATCTGGGCCTCAGAAACTGCCGTCACTGCCCCATCAGTCATCTCGGGGCACTGACAAATGGGCCTGCCCACTCTGTCACTGCAGTAACTTCATCCATCTCGTTATTCACAGCACAGATACTCCCAGGTTACTCAGAAGTTCTCATTTATGCTGGGATACAAAGCATTTTCTCCCAGAGTCTTGCTTGGGAAAAATTTATAGGCACTGGTGTTTGTTAGAGAAATGGAGATGTCGGCAGAACTTCAGGGACCACAGAGCAGAAGGGTTGTCTGTGGGACTGGTGGTCTAGCACAGTGGGCAGACCCACCCCCACTCTCTGCTCCTCAGGAAGCCTCTCCCTGCCACTGGGGAAGGCAGTGGAAGCTGGCCCACGAGCCTGGCGGGTGCCCCTCCCCTTGCCACCTTCCAGGGTGAGCAGGAGGGGGCCGTTGAGCCAAGCATGGTGCTGGGGCTGCACTTGAGAGTCAGAGATTTATCACAAGAACAGATAGAGATGGCTCACTGGACAACACTCTGCCTGCCTTACTTTGCCTTCTGTCCTCTCATGGATATATTATTTATTATTCATTTCTAGAGGTTTTATTTGGTTCTTGTTAAAATCTACCTGTTCTTTTTTTTCGTGAAGGTGTTAATTATTTTATACATGTTCATAGTCTCTATCTGATAATCCTATTATCTGAAGTCCTTGGGGGTCTCAGCCTGCTGTTGATTGTGTCTGGCAACTCTTGGGGACTATTTTCTTGTGTATGTTACCATGTGGGGTTGTGAGTTCATTGTGTGTGTGTGTGTTTCTGCTTTATCTGTCCAGATCCTGATCGGCCTGGGTTGATGGCATGTTTACTTCTGCCGCTTGCTCCAGGTAGCACCAGCCTGGGACCACGTGTCTGTTAGTTCCTGGCTTAGGGATTTCTAAACCATGCAGGTAGTTCAGACTTGGACCTGAAACCCACATGACTTCTGAGGGAATGTGTTTTCTTTTTTACCCAGCACCCAGGTGAGCTTCCTTGTTGCCTCCTTGCGATGGTGGTGACTTTTTTCCAAGTCCACACTTCTGCTGAGGTTGCAGCACTGCACAGGTCCCAGCTGTGTGTGAGTGTGTAGGATCTGGTCTAGCCCCCTACCTGCCACATGGACTCGGGCCTACCACCTGTCTCCACACAGCAGTTACAGCTCTGGGTTCCCAAGACTGAAGGCTTCCTCTTCCTTTCTGGCCTCAGTTTCCTCCTTCCTCATGAACCCGGCTCCATGATGCAGCACGCCTAAGTGTTTGAGGTAGGAGTGTTTCTGTCTAAAGTAGTCTGCCTTCATCTTATGAAGTGTTCCAGGGCTGTTTGGTATGGTATCCTACAGCTGGATTTGATCATAGTCTTTGGTCAGTCGATAGCTAGTCCCCTCTGGTTATGAATTTACTGGACCCCCGTGTCTGGCTCACTGTTTGCCTTATTCCTGTGACACATCTGGTGGGTTCAAACTGCCAACCTTTTTGTTAGCAGCCAGGTGCTTTAAGCAGTGCACCAGTAGTGCTCCTCTGATAGATGTATAGAGGTGTCTTTATTAAATGTCCTTCTGGTGCAGCCTTGGTCTGTGAGCTATCAAATGGGGAATCTGACTGTCAGTCCACGACAGTCTGTTCTTATGGCCCGTGCTTACTCCTGGTGGTCCCACCTACACTCTCTGAGCTCTCACCAAGCAATGCTGGAGCCATGTTGCCTCATGTCAAGCATGTGGCCCCAGTTTGGAGCATCCATTCTTCAGTCCCCAAGCCAAAAATAAGAACTCACCTCCCTTCAAGTTGATTCCAACTCATGGCGACCCCCACTGAGTTTCCAAGGTTGTAAATCTTTACAGAAGTAGATCACCCTGTCTTTCTTCCATGGAGCAGCTGGTGGGTTTGAACTGCTGACCTTCTGGTTAGGAGCCAAATGCCTTATCCACTACACCACCAGAGTTCCTTAGTCCCTAAAAAGTGGTATGTCAGACTGTGTCTATCCATGGGCCCCCTGAGTTGCCCACACTTACCCAGACCTTGGGTGCCTCTGTGTTCACAGCTCAGGCATGAGGTCCCAGATAGAGGTCCTCTGATGCACACAAGCTGGAAAAATGGGCCCCATTGCTTTGTCCACTGTCACTGCCACCAAAGTGCCAGTTTGTTCACACATTGTGTCAGGAGAGATACAAAATTAGGTGTTAAAGTCCAGTTTTCCAGAATTTCAAACTCTTAGGCTAAAGTGAATTTGTGGCATGTGGCGTTTTCCTCATCTTTTCAACTCTTCTTTTAGGGATTTGTGGAGTTGAGGGATTTGTGGTTGGCACAAACGACCCAGTATTGGGCTGCAATTTGCAGGTGAAAACTCGGTCAGCCTTTCCTTGGTTGAGTGTGTTCATAAGCTGTGCCCTTTACTCCTGAATTACTTGTTTCTTTCAGCTGAAGTCACAGCCTAGAATGAAAGTTGTCTGTGCTGCACGGACTACAGGAGGAGAAGAGGCTCTCCTGAGCTGAGCTGGGGCTCTGCCTCAAGCGGAGCCTGCTTGTTAGCTCATCTACATATGCTGATGACACAGCTGTCCCCCAGCCTGTTCTTTCTGAAGCCTGCATTCCTGGTATGGCCTGAGTGGTCACTTGCCACAGCAGAGCTCAGCGGTCCGCATCCCCTCGAGAATGGTTGCTTGGGGCAGGGCTGTGCTTCCCAATGCTGTAGGTGCCTCACAGCTCCATGGTATGTTCCAGGCATCTCACTTGAATGTGGGCTCACTATGGGGAGTGCCTAAGGCATTTGACTGCTAACTGGAAGGCTGGCAGTTCAAACCCACCAGCCACTCCTCAGAAGGAAGATTGGGTCATCTACTTCCGTAGTGATAGATACCGCCTTGGAAACCCAAGAAGGGGTCACTGTGAGTTGGAAATGACTTGATGGCAGTGAGCTTGGTTTTGGTTTTTGGTTATTTGAGGTTCTGGTCTAGGTTGGGAGCAAAGGGATATGAAGCAGGTTTTTGAGGATGTCAGTCACAGGGCTTGGCACACGTGTTGGCTGTAGCTGTGCTCTCAGTGAAGTGACATGGGTCTCACTGTCCCTGTGGCCTCTGTGGACTGAGGCAGAAATTGACACCAGCTGCTTTAGTGTCAGAGACGTGTGCACTCCCACCATGAATATGAGGGTGGCTGGCAGAGAGAACGTGTGGCTCTCCTTGCCTCTCTGGAACTTCTTGAAATCCTTTGTGCAGAGAAAATATCTCACTTACAGATGCCCAACTATCCTGTGAGGTCTGGAAGGCAAGCCTGAAAGCTGAAAGCCAATTGCATATAGCAGAACCATCCCTGCATGACAACTAGTCAGCAACCAATCATAACAGTTATACATAGTTGGTGTTTATGATGCCTAGAAGGTTAAACTCTTTCACATGGACATTCTCTAAAGCAGGCCTAGAATGTGCAGGATGCCAGGGCCACTCCCTGTGTCCTGGGGCAGCGTTTACTGTCCTAAGGATGGGCAGTGACACAACCCTGTCATTGGTCCTCCACTAAGCCCCTGCCTGGTAGCACATGGGTAGGGTGGAGGCACCTGAACCTGCTTCTCACCCAGGACCAAGCTGGGACTGGGGCCTTGGGGTGGTGGCAAAGGCAACTTTCCATGATTGTCCCCCTTACCAGCTGGGTTCTATAGAGGCTGGCACCTTTGGTGCCTGAAAGACAAGGGCAGAAAGTTAAGACACGACTTGTCCCCATTGGAGCGAAGTCTTATGCAAAGATTCTGGGCCATATGGCGAGGGAGAGAGTGGTGAACCTCCCTGGGGTTCAGTACTGCTGATTGGGTCTTAAAGTGGCCAGTCTGTCCACCAGCACCTACAGCAAGCTCCAGGATCTGCCCCAAGGGGGCCGTCAAGTCAGAGACAGCTCCTTGTCCCAGGACACTGTGCTTGTTCCTACTACCAGGCCTTTGCCAGTGCTGGGTCATCCTCCAACCTGTGCTTCACACTCAGCCGCTGTGGCCTCTGCTCTTCACAAAGTCTCTCTCCCATGGCTCTGACTTGGGGGCCCAGGGACCCCAGTAAGTGGCTGCCTCCTGCCAGAGTCTTGCCTTTTCCTCCAGATCTTGTTTCTTGTCCCACCTGCCCATGGTGGGAGCTTGTCTGGGGAATCCAACCCGTTTGCCGTTTGTCCCAGGCCGGGAGAAACATGGCTGCCCCCAGACCCTGCTTCTCTCCCTGTCCCTGGAGATTGCCCTACCCTGCATTCCCTTCAGCCCATGCCCTCCTCTCCTCCCTGCACTGTGCCCTCCTCAGGCAAATCCAGGAATAGTTCTAGGACGAGAAAGTCTCTTGTGTTCCACCCTGGCCATGTGTCCAGTCCATCCTGATGGGGTGGGGCATCATCTCTGGACATGGGAGTTAAAAGGAGGCACTTCCTGCAGAAACGGGTGTGGCCCCTGCTCTGGTCTTGTCTGTCCTGACAAGCGTAAGGCAGGCCACTCTGGAAGGCTGTGGTTTGCCATAGTATTCGAGGCCGGTGAACTCTTTCAGCAGGCAGCTGGGCCCTGTTGGACCCTCAGTTCCAGCCTTCCTGCCTCTGTGCTAACCTTTGTGAGCTCAGGCATCACAGACCCAATCTGGGAATGTTAGGTGCCTTGGAAACATGGCTATAGCACGACATGGGCTGAGGATTTGCACTTGGTGCAAGAGAGGGAAGGGGGATAGCTTATACACCCCAGTAACTGCACCCTGACCAAGCTTCCTCCCTTCCTTCTGCAGCCTCTTCGAGCATTACTGCTACTCCCGAGGTGGCATGCGCCATAGCTCCTACACCTGCATCTGCGGCAGGTAAGAGGGCAACGTGGGTCACCTGCTGGCAGGTGGCAAAATGGTCATGGGAGGAGGTTAGGCCATGAGGGAGGTGGGCCTCACCTTCCCCACCCTCCCTCACAGCTTAGTTGCCCACACAAGTCCAGCCATCCAAGGTTGGAAGTCACTCTTCCCTCCTAAGGCTCAAGGGCCAAGATTACCACAGTTTGCTTCGCTAGAGGGGCTGAGCCTGGTGGTGGGGTGAAGGAGGGAGAGCCTGGTCACATGCTGCAGGGGAGCCACACTGCCATCACCTCCCTTCCAGCTCTCAGTTGGGCCACCTGGAGACATGAATGTGGCCAGCACAGGAGCTTAACACTGGAAGCCGGTCCCTGAGCAGGTTACTTCTCCTGGGGGCCTGCCAGTCCTGGGGTTGTGGGGTGCACCCTTCCTTGCCCCCACCACTCAGGCACACACACCGCCTGTGGAGCTGGGCTGGGACCTCAGGCTGAGACTGCTCCTTTGTGTAGCTAGGCTCTGTGTGAGTACACGAGGCTACGTGTGCCACTCTCCTAGCCCACTCTGTCGGGTCCCCCAGGTTCTGCCCAAGCTCAGCTCCTCAGGTCTGGCCCTGCCCAGCCGGGACAGAGCCGGGCAGCTCTCTCTGTTGATGTGCACATCCTCAGCACATGAATAATACATCCAAACATCTCAGCCCTGGGAAGTGTTCTTCTCTGGCAGATAGAGAGAAAAATCATTATTTCTACTTTTATGATTCCTGAGACTCCCGAATCGAGCCATAAATATTACACCCAGGTGGTTTTTTTTTTTTTTTTTTTTCGTTTGGACAGACCTAAAAGTCATTTTTTTCCTTTAAAGGCATGTCCCATTGGGGAGGCTCTCTCGAGTAGAGGCCCTTGAGGCTGCTGGCTTCCTCTCTGGGCCAACCAAGACTCCAGGGCAGCCCCTGGCACTGCCCTAGCCCCTTTTCCGTTGCACTCCCCTCTCCTCTAGCCACCAAGAAAAGGTTTCCTCTAGAGTGCCCTCCCTAGACCTACAACTATTGCTTCCTAATTTTGTTCTTTATACACCTTGCCCACATTGTGAAGGCCTCCAATCTCACCCTCCACAGAGGGCCACTAGCCTGAGGGCCAGTTACAGACACTGATGGCATGAGCCAAGAGGCCAGCCGTGGGGCAGCAGGGGTGCTCGGGCCCCTGCCCCCCACCTCCTCAGGCTGTGAGGCCTAGTCCAGCCACCCTTGGGCCTCTGCTAAAGGGTGGACGGTACCGCCCAGGGGTGGGGATTGTGGTGCCAGCCTCTTGGTGGCCCCTGGGTAAGGGTGGGAACCGAGCACCCTCCCTCTCTGCAGTGGTGAGAACTCAGCTGTGCTGCACTATGGACACGCCGGGGCCCCCAATGACCGCACAATCCAGGATGGAGACATGTGGTGAGTGAGACCAGTCCCTACCCTGGTCAGGCTGACCACAGTGAGGTCCCAGGCCTGCTCTTGCCAGGCTTCTCTGCCAAAGCTGCAGACCCCCTGTGTGGTGCTTCCTCTGCCAGGGCCAAGGGCCCACACCCTCCAAGTAAGCACTGAAAAGGACCTTGTCCTGTAGGGGCTAAGGTATGGTCCCTGTGGGACCATGGGACAGCAGGTTATCTGAGAAGGGCCTAAACTGGCCCCAGGCCATTCTCATACTTGCAAGCAGGCACATGACAGAAGGGCACCTTGGTCTGGAGCAGGGAAGATGAACCCTCAGTAGCCTTTGATCCTTTGACCCCCCTCCCAGACTTGGCCACAGACACCCTGGGCATAGGCACCATCTGAACCAGCATGTCAGAGGTGGCCCTCTGCCCCCTTGGCTGTTGGTAGGGCTTTTCTGAACACTGTTATGTGTGCTTACAGCTCTTCATGGTGGTGATGACTAGGCAGATGTGGACAGGTTCTGTGGCCAGTCAAGGGAGCCCAGGCCACACAGGGCTGCTGAAAAGTGGCCAGGTGCTGGGCATGGGGCCTGACCAGTGCCCCACCAGGCCACCTGGCTAGGGCATCCAGCTGTTTGACTGTGGCTGTCAACCAACCAACGGGGATGCACTGTCCCACTCTTGGTACCTTTTCATCCTATTGCTTTCATCCTTGATGAAAAGGGCGGGTGTGGCTCCCTCAGACCCCTATGTGAAGGCAGGATCCCAGGCATCCACAGAGGGGCATAGGTGTATGTGTACCTGCAGGCTGATGGCTGGTTGCCCTGAGAGACAGCTATCTTCTCAACTGTCATTGCCAAGTATTTGGAGTAATTTAGTAACTTGCCCAACCCCCAAGACCCTCCCTGTCCACAGGGCACATGGGCACCAAGACTTGCTGCAGTCACTCCACTAACTTGAGGTCAGTAGGTGGACAGAATGTTCTGGCTTAGTCTACTGTTGGCTAGAGCCCAGCTTATCTTCTGAGAGGAAACATAGCCACTTACTCTCCTCCCTGAGCCTGTTTACTCACCTGAGTGGAGAAAACATGGCACTAGAAGAAGCATGTTAGGAAGACAAGTGCTGAGCCAATGTGCCTTCTCTACCAGAGGCCTGGCCCAGCAGGTTGAGAGGCAGGAGCATTCAGAAGGATGATGCTCAAAGTGGACACGGACAGTGGGCAGTAGTAACACTGCCACTCCACGTGGCCCACTGGGCCTGTGTCCCAACTCTCAGGCCTGCCTGACTGCATTAACTCCTTAGAACTCACTGTCTATTTCACCCATGGGGTACAGTGAATCCACGGATTATAGGCTGTTGGCAGTCTGCAGGGTGGGCCTGCACAGCCAGTGGGCCCCTTGGCAGTGGGCTTGGTTGGGACAGTGGCCGTGCCCAGAGCTAGGACCATCAGAGCAGAGTTCAGTGGACCCTCCTGGAGTGTCTGATGTCCTTCCTGGCCTACGAGCTAAGGGTAGGGCCCTCCCCTGTACCTGGTACCAGGTGTGTCTCTTTATGTAGACTTTCTCACCTAATCCTCACCAGAAGGTTGGTGGTTCAGACCCACTAGCCACTCTGCAGAAGGAAGACTGGGCAATGTACTTCTGGAAAGATTTACCACTTCAGAATCCCAATGGGGTTCTCTATGAGTCAGAATCGACACCATGGCAGTGGGTTTGTTTTTCGTTTTTTTTTTTTTAAATCCTCACCCTGACCCCATGAGGTAGGTAACTCACCCTCAGTTTACAGGCCAGGTAACTGAGACACAAGGAGGGTACCATGCCCAGGTGTGGAGCTATAGAACCAGAGTGTGGGGCTACCCCGTTCATCAGAGAGGGAGTGGTACTTCAGATTTGGCTCAGCTGGAGACCAGGGCTAAGAGCCTGCACCCCACAAAGGAAAGAAAGCGTGGGGGCTGCTGGTCTCCGGACTGTGGCCACTGGTGGCCCCTAAAGGAGACCAGTTGGTAATTTTAGGGACTCTCACCCCTGAAACCTCTTTGACCCTGTGACCCAATCTGGGTGGGGAGGGGAGGGCAGAGGCAGAGGCCCAGCCACACTACAGTTCTCAGCTGCCCTGGTAGTAGCTCTAGTCGGCCAAAGACCCCCTGGACCAGAGCCTCGTACCCATGAGATTTTCTCCTCTGTGAGCTTAGCACACCCGGAGGAAGGGGCTGCTTCTCCACATTCCTCTTTATCTGCCCCAGAGAGGGCCCCCACCTCATCAGAGATAAGATCCCAGCTGTATCCCTAAGGTGGCCCTTGATGGGGGCAGGAGAGAGGGCCCTACAAACAGACCCTCACATAGCATGGATGTTGCAGCCTGAGCTGTCCTGGGCAGTGTAAGCACCTGTCTCCTGGTTACAGCTACAGAAACTAGAATGATTGCAGGAAGCCCGCAATGTTAACGCCAATCCAAATTGTTGATTTTATTTTTATTTTTCTAGTACTAACTTTGAAATGTAGCCAGCAGAATAATTATGAGTTTATTACAGTCAATTTATTATGCAGCATTTAGTACAACATGTTTTGTTGATTACTGTTGCTGCCAGATTGCTGGCGGCACTTATAATCCATTGTTTTATTGAAATTGATCTGCCGAGCGCCTGCTGCGTTTGGTAAACAATAAATCACTCTGTTATCCCAGCATAAAAGCCACACTACTTCATCAAAAGGTATGGAACCAAAATAGGAGCATCATGCAAATTTTTTCCTAAATCCAAGTGCCACCCAGAGCAGTATATATGTTCTGAGATATCTGTTGTAGGGGTACACTCTGGGCCTCTCTCCTTTGACCTTGGATAAAAGTGTCCCAAAGACATTTTAACATTTGGTAATGGGGCTGTTTGGGGGATGGGAGTCATCCCTCTCCCCACAATCTCAGACTTAGGCACCACACGTATCCACACACAGGAAGTCTCATGATGAGCACAGAGGGTCTCTGCCCCCTCCACTACCCTAGTGGCGTAGCCACCTCTGTGAGCCTCAGTTTCTTTGGCAGTCAGTGGGGGCTCTAATAGCCAGCACCTCACCCTGGGAAGGATTCAGTGATGATGAGTGCATTGCTGAGTGTGGAGCTGGACACAGTGTGAGCTGCAACAAAGGCCCTCATACCCAGAGTGGGGCAGGCCAGGCCCTCTCTTACCTGTACTCCTGGCCCCCGAGACCCCTTCTTAGTGTGCTCCTGGCCCATCCAGCAGACAGATGTTGTCTCTGGGCTGTAGGTCAGAGCCACAGGCAGAGCGTGAACCAGGCCTGGTTTATTCATGGACAGTCTGGAGTTGTGTGGCCTTCCTATTCTGTTTTCAGTCCCAAAGAACCCTCTATGAGTGTGCCAAGGTGGGGCTTGAAGTTGAGCAGGCCTGCCTCCCTCCTCTGCCCATACAATACCAAGAGCTTCCCCGTGACCTGGCCCATGGCTGCTGTCATTGCCAGCAAGGCCTGTGAGTTGGGCATACTGGTTCTTACGACAGGTCACACTTGCCTTCTGAGAACTGAGAAGAGCATTTTGAGGACCACTCCTCACACTAACGGGTGGCCCTTTGGGTTGCTTCCTGTTTCTCTTGGCTAGATCCTGCCAGTTTCTTGCTGTGGATCCAAGGGTAAAACAGGGACCATTGTTGTGTTTTTAAATCCCTGGGCCCTTCCTCTCTGGACTTGGTTCAGAGCCACAAGGCCTCTCATAGGACCTGGGACCGTGGTGCATGACAATTTCCTGCTGTGTCCCTGGGTCACCATGAACCCCATCACCAAGTTATGATCCTGCAGGATCCAGTAGTTTCTTTTTGGTTTAGTTTTTAAGGCAGGCAAGCAGACCTTCTAGAACAGGGTTCCAAAATTGTGGTGCCCTTATAAGTTAATGCTCTTAACATGCTCATGCAAAGGACAATGCCTGAGGTTAATTGAGTCCTTCCTGAGTGAGAGGCCCCAGAGGCCCTTCCCCACCAGATTCAGCCCCAAGTAGATGAGTGTGCACAAATATGTGGGAGCCACTTATCACCCCGCCCCAGATCACTCTCTGTCCCCTGAGGGCCTGAGCTCTGGAAACTGGATCATGCAAGGCAGATGGAAGCACTGAGAACTGGTGAGCTGCCCGTGGGCCACCAGGGGGTGCAATCATCCATATTTAAATCCACTGGGAAACTGTGCCCTGACTTGGACAGGCTCTTATGCTGGAGTCCCAGGTCAGACCTGTCTTGCTGAACTCTCTGCCTCCCCTGGGCCCATGAGCAGTCTCACCCCACAGGGCTAAAAATGCAGAGGGGCCTAAGATGAGGAAAACAGCTGGGAAAAGCAGCTGATTGGGAGAGCAGCTGGGACACCCCTCCTCACTTACGTCTTCCTCCCTTACTATGTTTGGGGGTAACTGGTAAGGATGCTATGTGACTTCTCAGAACCTTCTTCAGCATGAGTTTAAGGATGACCGAGGGCTAGGTTGCCCAACTACAGGCAAGATGTGCCTGGTGAGCTATGAGCTGGACCTTCCATCACTGCCAGAAGAGGGCAGTGTTGTCCCAGGACATGTGGGCCAGCCCTTGTCCCTGCTGGGTAGTTGCCTTTTGTGGTCTAAAGGTGAACCACAGCAGCCTTGTCCCTGGCCATGCCCCTGGGGCACAAGAGGTGAGTGACCAGCCCAGCAAGGGAAGAAAGGCCTGTCCTAGCACCACACTCAGCAGCTAGCCAGTGTCATCTGCTGCCTCTCTTTTCCTGTTTTGGAACTAGGTCCCATCAGTCTCCTTGCCCTGATGGTGGTCAGCAGGAAGCCCCAACTTAAGTACGCTTGTCCAGCTGACCAGGACAAGATAGAGTTCTTGCTCACCTAAGCCTGACTTCTTTTTTTTGCTCCAGACAAATAAGTGCTACCAATTTCATGAAGACACCCTGAACTGTTGCTGGCACATATGGGCCCCTCCCGCTGCCAGTGCCACATCCCGGAGCCAGGTAGCATCAGTGTCGTTCCTCAGCACAGCTGAGAGAGTCTGAATTC